GGAAAGAGAACCATTCAATATCTGAGCTGTGTAAAATGCAGCCACTGCTAAAGACTGCCTCCTGCAGGCAGGGTGCTGCATGCACTTGGCCCTGCTCTCTTCCTGCTGCTTGTGTTTCCCCTAGCCCATCCCAGGCAGGGGAGCCTCACTGATAGTCTTGGAACCTGAAAACTCAGAGAGGGCCGAGAGTAGACCTCGAGGGGACGGATGTGGAGCTACATTCCTTTTAATCCACATTAATCTTCCAGATTAACAATCCAGAACCCCAACATGCATAACAGAAACTGTGAAGCATAGGTTTTCCAAGCAGTTTATCCTTCATTGTTTTGGGAGAGCATCCTCCATTATTGAAGACCACGTGTCATTATTTACAACATTCTCATTTCTTGTGAAGATCTTCAGGGTTAACTGTTCAAGCCAAAGAATAGTGCCGAAAACAAAAAATTCTGCAGGAAGTGGGTGAATGGGCGAAGTGTAATCTATTGAGTAGTTGGGAAAGTCATGACACATTTGCATGGAAAAATACATCATGATTTTCCCCTTATTATTGAAGACCACGTGTCATTATTTACAACATTCTCATTTCTTGTGAAGATCTTCAGGGTTAACTGTTCAAGCCAAAGAATAGTGCCGAAAACAAAAAATTCTGCAGGAAGTGGGTGAATGGGCGAAGTGTAATCTATTGAGTAGTTGGGAAAGTCATGACACATTTGCATGGAAAAATACATCATGACTTTCCCCTGTGACTTAATAGATGCCTGTTTTTCAGCAACTCTGATCTTGTCCAAGAATAAAAGTTATCTAGAATAATAGACAGGGTACTTGGTCTTTAGGAAATCACCCTTGAATGTTTTGACTCTATCCAACTTTGACAAATATTGGAGGCAATGAGGTCAAGGTAGTCCACCCTAGCAAAACCCTCTACAACAGTAATATTCTCGCATGTTGTCAAGCGGGTATGACCCCAGTCTTTAGATAATTGAGCTGGATCTGTAGCTGAAGGCATGTGATGTGCCATGTGTATAATGTGTTAGCCACCTTCCCACGTTCTTGCCCTAGTTTCAATTACTTTCTGAACCAACTGAAATAGAGGACCTGGAGTAAGGGCCTACTCCTGGACAAAGCAGTAGCAGCTGTCTGCTTTTCTCATTGGACAGATTGGATCTCAAGCAGTCAGCAAGGGTGGCACAGTGTCTCTCCATTGTCAGAAGGAAGCTTGGATAGATTTTTTGTCTTTTAACTTCATGAGTTTTTTTTTTTTTAATATCCTAGAAACAGTTGTTTTTATTATCTTTTGAGGTTCTGTATTTTTATTTTCATTGTGATTTCACTGGTGGTCCAATAGAAAGAAGCCGGAGGCTACATCAGGAACTGCTAGCCAGCTGCCCTTTAACCCAAACGTCCCAATTTTCCCCCTCATCACTCGTCCTCAGGAGTCATAGTTAGCATCTATAAAAACAGCTCCACATTTCTCTTGAGGAAGATGAAATGGCGTTAAAAGTTGCATTATTGTATTTATTTACATCTATGAATAAGAATCTAGAAAAGTCATAAATGTATTAGGTAATACAATAAAGAATAAAATTATCTCTGTGGAACTTTTCATTAACACGTAGAAGTTGTAAATTGTTACCTACTTAGTAGTAAACAGGTATTTATTTTAAAAGGTGCTGTAATTATCAGCTGTCATCTACATCCAACACTTCATCATTAGTAACCAGTTTATGAGCACCTATTTAGAGAGTGACCCTGTTAGAGAATCTCACCCTGTGCTACATAGGCTGCAATTACTGTTGTCATTCAGATTAGATTACTGTACCATTCAGTCAGCTGATTTCAACTCATTTTCCACATTCCCTGAGAAAAATCACTTTTTGTTACTTAAAAGATAGAAGCCATATATAAAGCTTTGGTAAGAAAGCAAAGACAGTACAAAATAATAATAATAAAAATAAAGTAAAAATTTATATTAAAAAAGAAAAAAGAAAGCAAAGACAAGTGTCATAGCTTCATTTTTACAGCACTGAAATGAAGGTAAAAACATCTTCAGTTCCTGCTTTTTCACTATGTCGATTTGCACTGTTGTGGGGAAGAACAGACATCAGTCAGCTACTTACAAAGATCATTTTAGAGATTCTGACTCTAATGCCGAAACCACTTTATAAAGTTCTATGCAAATATCATTTGTTGTCTTTTTTCTTGGAAAGTAAGAGCAGAAAGGGACCAGCAGATGGCAGAATGCTTACATCGCTGGAATCTCAACATAGTTGACCAAAGTTCCAGTCCTGGACCTGGCAGCTTAAAACTCACACTGGGCATGTGTGTGTGCATGGCCAAAATCCCAAGAAGAGAACAGAGGAGAAGGGATTGCAGGATGGCCATCTCCCCTGGGGAGTTATTTCTCTCTTTCTGTCTCTCTTGTCTTTCTCTTGTCTTTCTGGTGAGCACACACTTCCTATAGGAAAAATCTCTCTTAAAAAAAAAGAAAAGAAAAGAAAAGAAATAAAGAGCAAAGAATGTTTTTCTCACTTGATTGTACAATTTTTTTATACCAGAGCTCTTTCAAAAATCTTCCTGCAAAAATACTATTTTTCACTTTTTAAAGAAAAATGTTTTCCTTGCTTACACATGCTAAGTAGAGAGAGTGCAAAAGTTCAAGCTTGCTATTTATGTTTCTGTATTAGCATGTTTCTATTTCTAGGACAGTTAAGTTATATTTGGATTATATTGATTCAGTGATATGAGTACATGTTTTTGTATTCATCTTTTTTAAGAAATAAACAAAATATATCCAGTAAGTACACTTACATAATGTTAAATAAAAGCTACTGTTCTCTGTAGGAATTGTATGTTTGTTCTCAAATTCTGGGATGGATATTTGTGGCATTCATGTTGAAGGTGATAGGAGAGATGAAGAAAATTGGTCCTGTAAGTTAAAGACGCTGATCTGTAGTCCTTAACCTTTTCTTCTTATTTATGTCCTCCCATCTCCAGTCTTTTCTCCAAATCTAGATTCTCCAAAGCCCAAAAGTTCCAACAGGCATTTCAGCCTCTATTTCTGTTAAAGAACCCTGTTGATCTCTTCCTGCAGTCAGTCAAACTGACCGTTCTTGCAAACCCTTGGAGCTGTGCTTTGGAAAGTTTATTGATTCCTAACATAAATATCTCTTAAAGATGTGTAAAGAGAACTGCTCTCCCATAAGAAAACTTCGACAACTACACTTCTTGCATCAAGTTCCTTTACTCCTGTGGAAAGCAGTTTTCTCTTCCTCATGGGATGGAGATATGTCCTGCCCATAATGCCCACTCTTCCTGGAGGGGGGTTGGGGGGTCCCCAGTTGGATCCGAGATGTGACAAACAGGCCAAAGCCAGAGGGCGTGAGACCTGGCTCTGGACTTAATCAAGATACGTAGGAACAGGTTCTCTCTGACTTTTCTCTCAGGGTAATCTAGAGAACTTCTCTAAGGAAGTGGTTTTACTCATCTCTCTAAAGTAGCTTCAGGATCGATTCTGTGTCATGCTCACATATCCTCAGTGACTACCACTGTATCTAACACACAGTCTCATCCACTAAGTGCTGTTCGAATACTGAGGGTTATATCCTTTGTGAGTTCCATTAATAGTGACAGCAGCTGATTGAGCACCATTTTGCATTCAGTATCAGAATACTCAGAGACTACCACAGGTGAACTATGGTTTCTAATGGAGGCACTCATTTCCCATCTAAGAGGCAATGAGGATAGCACGTGCTTCAGGGTTTTTCTAAGAATTCAGTGAGAAATATAAGTGTCCCAAAGCAACTGGTTTTGTTAATCCCATGGTAGAGAGTGAAACCAGAGGTAGGGAGTCAGACCTGGGGGTATTCCCCTTCATTTTTTTCTAGTGGAAGCGTAAAGAGGCTACCTGACTACTTTGAGCCTCATTTCTCATCTGAACAAGTTTAGTACCTGTCCTGATTCCTGTACAGAGTCATTTGCAATGATAAATGGAGATGATAAAAAAGATAAAGAGGTGTAAAATTGTAAAACTATAGCATTAGTGGAAAGAACCACAGACTGAGGTTTCTTAAACCTGGCGTTGGCACCTGTTAGTTCTGCAACGTAACCTGGCTGAGATACAGTTTCTCACTGTATAAAATGAAAAGGTTCATTTATTGGGTTGTCAAAAAAGTCATGATGCATTTTTGCATAGGAAAACAAACAAAATAACATCATGACTTTTCCAACCCTATAGTTTATTTTGGATGCTTTTTTTTTTTTCTGTTGATAGTGATAGATTTGTAGAAACTGTCTTAATGCATGTATAAGACCAAAATAATCACGTGTTTATAATTTTACACATTATGAGTACTAAAGCACACCTTGCGTTAAAACTTTGTCCACCTTCTGAGTAATATCTAAATTTATGCAGTTCCTTCTGCTTTCCTGTATCTAAATAAGCTAGATGTGCCTAGTAACAGTTGAAGCTTTGATCAGTTCTCACTTTACAGCCAATGAGTTCAGTTCCCTTCTGTTATATTTCTTGGTGACGTGGGGGATGGGGTGGATTAATGAAGTAATTGGAGATCGGAGTGGGCTTACAGTTTTACCTAGGTTTGTTCCACATATCAGAGCATTAATCTAGTGTATACAATCATAAAAATGAAAATGCTGGCCTTGGACAAGAATTTCTGTGCTCTGCGAACCATGATCATTATGTCCAGGCTCTGTGTTTCATAAATGCTGTACCTGTAGTACGCGGGTGGGCCTTGGAGTTCTTCTTGCCCTGCCCCCTCATTTTCATATGGGACACTTAGGCCCAGAGAAGCAACTTACAGAGGTTACAGTCATCTGAGAGAAGCAACTTACAGAGGTTACAGTCATCTGAGCAAAGACATTTCAGAGTCCCAAGAGTTGCGTGCCATGTTCTTAGTTACCCTACAGGGAGTTAACCACCAAGAAAATAAAGTCTGGTTCTTGCTCATAGTACAGTGTTCACCATGAAATATGTCCTTTTGATCGCTTGCTGTCCTTCAAATGGAAACAGAGGTGTTCATTTTATTTCAGGTATGACAGTTGACAGCATTTAACACTTTTAACTGAGAAATGGAGTTGGGGTAATCATATTTGAGTTCTCCAGATCATTCTTCCTTGGTCTTTCTGGTCATTCTTCCTGGTTTAAGAACCTATTCTGTGCTAGCTACTGTGCTAAAAGCTTTACATGAATTATCTCATTTAATCCTCCAATAATGAAGGTTATGACCTATGAGGAATTTATGCATGAGAAAAGGGAAGATAAGAGAGGTTAAGTAATTTTCCAACATCATTTAGCAAGTACATGGTAAGCCTGAGATGAATTTGAACAGTCTGACCTAACTACTCTTTATACATGGTGTCAGTAGAAAGAACAAGGAGTAGATTGGTTGGTCAATAGCAATTAAAGGTACTCCATAATCACCTAAGCACATGGATTTGCTGGATGCTCTAGCATGTTCACACTGCAGAACGATATTTCTGTGGGAGATAATTCCTTGTAGCCGTGTGTGTGTGTGTGTGTGTGTGTACTCATATGAATGTTTACATTTACAGATTTATATATAAATTAGAAGTTAATGTCTAAGGTACTTTTGCTCTTTTTATCAGTTTATATTGGTGAGAAAGTTAGCCTTAAAATTTATTCGGTGGAGAGTTATCTTCATAGCATTTTGCATATAGCACCTTTTCAATAAATTTTTGTTGAGTTAATTTTTTTTTTTTTTTTTTTTTTTGGTAAGGAAATGTCTCTGGGTCAGAATGAAAAGATTCAGGGTCTAGTCCTGAATGTAATGGTGACTCACTGTGAGGTCGAGACCAGATCTCTACTCTGCTCTGAACTTTAGTTTTCTCATGTCTGAAGTGAGAAAAAGATCTGCCATCCTGCCATAACATAGTACATTTGCCGTAGGTTCTCTAGTTGCAGGATCCATAGGCATTCATGCCTGTCCGGCAGGGTTGCCTGGAATTGTCAGGCTCTCCAAAGACACTCGACTGGAAAACTGGACAAGCACAGTCCTCATCAGTGAGGGGTGGGGAGTTGCCGGGATTTGGGAGCAGCACTGCCAGCCTTTCCTAGTTTCTACCAAATTTGTCACCGAGGGTGCTTATGATAGTTTCCTTGCCAAGCACACTAGTACTCTGAGCATCTGCTAAATAGGTAAGTCAGTTACACCTTTAGGGCTATGGTCAGAAACTAAAAGAGCCAGCACTATTTGGGCCTCATAGAAGAATTTTAGTATTCACATAGAGGTGCCTTCCTCTAGAGAAACTGTCAGATATCAGAATCTCCTAAGAACCAGTAAGGATGAAAGGAATAGCCACAGCAGCAAGTTGGCCAGAGTGCCAGGTCAGAAAGCCAAGTAAGCTGAGCCATGTGCGTGGAACAGAATCAAATTTTAAGCAGTGTCAAGATCCGCTGAAAGGACTGCTAGTCACAACAGAACTGTGTGGACCTCGTGGCAGTTCACCTAATCTGATGTCAGGGAGTGTGGGCCAAGCCTGGGTTATGCTTAACAAGAGAGCTGAAAACATGGAGAAGGGGGCACTTTGCCAGGAGTTTTTGACCCTTGGGTTGTGAGCTGTTAGCGAGCAGGCCTCACCTATCCTTGCATTTTCTTTTTTTTCTCTTCTCTCTCTCTCTCTCTCTCTCTTTTTTTTTTTTTGGCACGCCCCACCAGGCAGGTAAAAACCAAGAAAATGCTGCAAACCCAGGAGAGAAATGAGGTTTTTACAGGGCCTGTGGTCCCTGAAAGTTCCCATTGCTAGTCTGAGAGAGAACTCCTCATTCTTATCCTCCTGACAGCAGACTCACATTTTCTGATAAGGAAACCTCTTAGACTTACCTGATTTCAATATATTGTAGTATAAATGTACAGTCATTCAGGTACAGTCTGAAATCTAAAATGCTCTGAAAACAGTCGTTTTTTGTAAGTTTGTGGCAAACTAATTTGGTGGTACAATTAGATCTGCAGTCTTCATATGCCTCACTTAGCGGGACTGTTCATATGTTTGGTGGCAATGATATCCACGTGTTTGATTACAGAGTGTCTCAACAGACCCTGCTTTGGTTAATAGGCAGTTTATGGAAGATGCATCTTACAACTTTTCTGAAATTAGAATTCTGAATTCCAAAAATGTCTGGCCCTAAGGATTTCAGAAAAGAATTGTGAACCCCAGAATTATTTTTTATTAAATTGGGGGGTATTTACTTACTTCTTAAGAAGATGAATGATTCCTTCATTCTTTTTCCCTTACAAAGAAAACAATGCTGGGGGTGTCTGGGGAAAAAAAGAAAGCAAATGTAAATGGTGACTCTTCCTAATACGTTATAGCAAAAGCTTCTGGGGGTCTGCATTTTTGGTATGAGACAGGAATCTGGATCTCTACTTTCCTTGCGATAAGATAAAAGAAAAAGTAGAGATTTTGCTGTGCAACCGCGTCCTTCTCTCCCTTTTTGCAGCCCAGCTGCTTATCAGCAGGTGTGTGACTCACAGAACCATAGCGCCACCTTTCTTCCAAACTTGGCATTGAATCTTTGCACTGCCATGGCTGACTTGCCTGCTTAAGCCAGTAAGTGGGCTAGACTTAGCAAGGAAAAAAGTTCCTTGGTGCTCAAATCATAGAGGAAAAGCTGCAAAGAGCGCAAGAAAATGTGTTTCTTCTTTCTGGTCCCTGAGAAATTAAATTGGTAACCTGATCTGTTGTTAGGGAGTGTGGGCTATAAGCCTGCATTTAATTAGTTTGCACCTAGTGTCATTTTACACATTAGACTTTTTAATTTACATCCTGCGGCATTGCAGCACTCGCCTAGGCCTTTTACCATGTAATACGGTATCTTCCATCTTGGGGACTTTAAAAATGTAGATATACTCTTTTAGTTGAGATTTTTTTTTCTTTTTCTTTTCAATTTTCAGTTGCAGATCAAACATGCAGTTACAGAAGCAGAGATTCAAAAATTGAAGACCAAGGTAAGCACAGATACATGGTTTTTGAATGGTACTTTAAGAACTTCAGATATGATGAATGAATTCAACTCTGCGATGAAAAGATTTGTTCTGTACACTTGAAAGAATGCGAATGTGAGAGGTTCATTTCCACTGTTAGGTGCATAGACAAAAGTGTGGGTGACAGCCACAGCCTACATGTCCTTCAGTGCAAATAACATATTTGAAATATATGTATTTGTGTGTATATGTGTGTGTATGTATTTGCACATATATGGCCATTTCCTTCTGACATTTCCTCAAAAATTATATTTGTAGCAGTTTAAGTATCTGAAATATGTTTTGATTACCAATTTTTTAAGTATAAGTTATTATACTTTCTCTTTATTTACTTTATTATAAGTAAATTTAATAACTTAGTTTTAACTTATTCCTCAGAAACTGTGTATTGTTTTAATATAGCACATTAATAATTTTATAGAAACAATTTCTAATTTCTAGTAGTAAATGTTATGAATGTAATATAATACATGCACAATTGATTTTAGGTGCCAGGTAGCACTGGTAGAAAATTTTTAGACAAGTTTAGTTCAAATTATTTAAATTCTTTGGGGGGATACCTTAGTTAAAGAGAGTGTGTATCTTTAGTGTAAGATAAAAAATAATACAGGATTTAAAGGAGATTTTAACTGGTAAATTATAACATATTTGTATGAGACACAATTCCATCCATTGTGCTTCATTTTATCAAATATGTCATTTCAAGGATTTAAAAATATATATCTTTTGAATTACTTTTACACTGCATTCTCTATTATTTCGGTAGTGTTTTTAAGATTAAGACATAATTACTCCTCCACCACTAATGATCTATTTTCTTGTTTCATATTGAACAGTTGTTTTGGTTTTCCCATGTGTTTCAAATGGAGATGAATTAGCAAGGCTATTTTGGTTAAATGGTATTCTCAGCTAATCCACTCTCTAGCTCTTTAGTCAAAACACGTCTATACATCATTCATGGTGTCAGCCCAGCTCTGTGAATAATCATTTTTAAATTAGTAGAGGTTGGTAAATAAAGAACTTGATACAGAACATTGCTTAATAAAAGATGCAGTAAAAAAAAAATAGAAGACACATTAAAACATTATTTTTTTCTTGACATAGAAAGGAAGAGAATAATTTAAAAATTGTTTACAAATAGAGGAAAAGATTCTCCCGTAATTGTGCTTTAACAGAGCACATATGTCAGACTATAACATATGAAATACTATGACGCAATGTTTTGTATTTTTCTCATTACTACATTGACATGTAATATCCATACGTTAGTTTTTTTTTTTTTTTAAGTTTATTTCTTCCACGAGTGAGAGAGACAGAGAGACACAGCACCCCAATAGGGTGTTGATGCCGCAATCCACCCCCAGCTTCAGCTGTCCCCAGATCATGGGCACACCTATGCCTGGAGAAGTCAGGGTCTCCAGATGTGCACCAAGAACACTCTCATGTGTGTCTACCTCACAGAGTGTCACAGGTTACCGTGCCACCATCTGGCTCCCAAAGATTATTTTACTGTCTTTATTACTGTTCTTTTCTATCCATGTTCTAGTAACGTTTCTAATTTTGAATATCTTTAACGTTATAATCTGTTTTGGGAAGTGTGCCTTGTCCAAAAGGATGTATGTGTGTATATGTATATTTATTTTTCTGTATTTTTCTATAAATCATAACTTCTATAATTATAATTTCTACAATTTTGAAAAGTTTTGATTTTATACATTGATAATTTATAATAACTACATTCTTTTTCACTTTAAAGAAGGCATATGCAGTAGATAAAACACTAGCTTGAAGGGCAGTTTCTGTATTAAATGACTTTTGAGCCCTCCCCTAAAAGATCATTCTTGAATTTCAGTAGAGATTAGAATGTATTTGACTAGCATACTGTCTATTTCTAAGAGTCCTTTGACGTAGAAACCACAAAAGAAAAAAAAAAAGACATTTCTGTTCCATTAGAGGTAATTAAATTAATCAAGATGTATGTTTTTAAGCATCTTTTATACTTTTATGCAAATTAAGCTATAAGGCTCTGAAAATGTATTACGCTGCCTATGAAATTATAAACCGTGTTCATGTCAGTTGAATAGAGAACATAATAATATCATCAAAAAAGTTAAAAGCAAAGTAAGAATAACTAACATTTATCACGTGATTATTATGCCCAAGAGCTATTCCCAGAGTGCTGACATATTATATCACAGCTCCATTGTATGGGTGATATAATTGAGTCTTAGAGAACTTCAGTACTTGACCAAGGTTTAATGGCCAATAATGGCAGAACCAGAATTCCAATCTAAGCAGAATGACTCTTATCATTTCCTCAACTACCAGGCCTTACTGTACTCCCACTCTTCTCACACTCCCTACCTTTCTCCACTCCCTTTTTAGTTATTTTTCTTACTTAAAATTATACATTAGAGAAACCACACACACACACAAAGGTGTTCACATTGATTGGACATAATCAAACTCTAAAACAACTTTTCGAATTTACTTCTAAAACATGCTTTCAGAATATCAGACCAATTGGTGTGATGGAATGATCATGGAAGGTAAAACCAAATTTATGTTTTGTCATTTGTCACATGTGTGACCTTGGATAAATCACTTCACTTTCCAAGGCTGCCATTTTATCATCTATGAAATTATAAAACTAATATGTGATCTTTTCATCTCAAGATGTTTTGATAACTGAGTAAATACAATAATGGAATTTAATCTAAAACATTCTGTAAAGATGCCAGTTTTTGGCTTCAGAAATACCCAAATTAACCTTGAATTGACTTTTGCTTCTATAGCTGCAAGCAGCAGAAAATGAAAAAGTGAGGTGGGAACTAGAAAAAACTCAACTCCAACAGAACATAGAAGAGAATAAAGAAAGAATGTTGAAGTTGGAGAGCTACTGGATTGAGGCCCAAACATTGTGCCACACAGTGAATGAGCATCTCAAAGAGACTCAAAGCCAGTATCAGGCCCTGGAAAAGAAATACAATAAGGCAAAGAAATTGATCAAGGATTTTCAACAAAAGTAAGCAGCTCCTAATGACTGAGGCATAGCTATGTGTATCTAAAGAATGTATCTAGCCAATAATTACATAATAATATCTAATGGGATAGAAAAGACTTCAGAGTTATCGTTCTCAGAAGCATAGTTACAGTATAAATAGGACGTTTTGGAAATCACTTCTATCTTATTTTTATATCCGAGATTATATTTTGTGTATTTTACAGTTGTTTGGCAACCAATTACCTCCTAATGTTTGATGGAAACTTACTCATTGATCATTATTAAAACATTTTAATTTCTTTATCCCCTTTGAAACATCTCTGTGATTTAGAAGCAAGAAGCCTTGCTGAAGTCATGCAGAAGAACCGACTATTGGATATTGTACATGCAAAGCAGCAGTTAGGGCCTGGAACTAGCTGCTCTATCCTTAGAATCAGTAACGGCAGAGCTTTCCCACCACAGACGGTGGAAATACTGATTACCAAAGCCCTATGTCCCGTTACTCTGCATTTCTCAGCTGTTTAGAGAATCCATAGGTCTCTCAGTTCACTACAGTGAGAAACGGACCATCTCCCTATTCCGCTTTTGAATTTCACCAGCTTTTTCTGAGCTACCACTAAGCTTTGCTTCCATCTGTTGGATATCAGTACAATGTCAGGGAAACTGACCAGAGACATTTTTCCTAGTTTTTTTTTTTTTTATGTCAGTTATTTCTAGCTAGCTGGAACCAAAGAGTGGTGCCAATACCTTGTTCTGTTCTTCAATGCCAAGCCTTAGAAGCTATACATACATGGTTCACTTTATTTTTGTTCTTTCCTATCATGCAAATGATGTTTTTAATACCCAAAAGAGATCGCCATGAAAAGTTTATTGTTAAAAAGGGGTAACTTGTTCATTGTGACCATAAATTCAACATGTACTTATTTTAACTCTCATTTCCCCCAAAAATTATGCCTAACTGTCATATAAAAGTTTAATAATACATTTTGCTCGGAGACCAGCAGGTAGTGTAATGCCTGTGTCACTGGACTCCCACGTGGTTGACTGTGGTTTGAGTCCCAGACCCGGTGGCTTAAACTCACGCCAGGTGCGTGTGCGTGCGTGCCCAAGATCCCAAGAGGCAAGAGGATAATGGAGGAGAAGGGATTGCGGTGTGGCCATCCCCCCCCCCCGGGGGGGGGTGATTTCTTGCTTTCTTTCTCTCTGTCTCTGTCTGTCTGGCAAGCGCATGTGCCCTATAGCAAAAACCTCTCAAAAAAAATAATAATACATTTTGCTCAATATTCGTGTTCTATTCTAAGCTCTCAACATGGAGACATTCCTCCTTTTCCCCATATTATCTTTAGGCACATGAAAACACTCTGTATTTGGACCCAACAATTCCCTTTTCACTCTTAATTGATGGAAATCTTAGTCTAGTTATCTTTTTTGAGACTTTACCATCCAGTTCTATCAATTTACTATGTATATGACACTGGAAACATGAATCACTCCTTTCTACTTGACATGTAATTATCTCCACAAAATTATCAACGGTGTTTCAGTTGCACAGTAGCTCCTCTCTAAGTGTGTTGGAGCTCTGGAATTAGGAGCAACAAGTGAAAAGCATAGCAAGTAGATCAAAGCCTTCTTTTCTTTCTTCTTTTTTTTTATATTTTTTTTCACTTTGTGACCTATTAAGGATCTTTTCTTTTCTTTTTTTAAGAATTATTTTTGGGGCCAGCAGATAGTGTAGTGGTTAAGGCACTGGACTCCCACATGGTTGACCACAGTTCAAGTCCCAGATTCAGAAGCTACAAACTCACTGTGTGTGTGTGTGTGTGTGTGTGAGTGTGTGTGTGTGTGTGTGTGCTCCAAATCCTGAGAGGTGAAGGAGGAGAAGGGTTTGTGGCATGGCCATTCCCTTCACCCCCTGATCTGGGAGGTGATATTTGCTTTCTGCCTCTGTGTCTCTGGTGAGCCCATGCACCCTATAGCAAAAATATCTCTCTTAAAGAAGTAATAATTATTACTTGTTTAATTTTATTAACTATTATTTTTGATTTGCTATAGGGCATGTGCACTCACCAGAGAGAAACAGAGAGGGAGAGGGAAAGCGAGAAAGCAAGCCATCAGGTCTGGGACTCAAACTGCAGTTGACCATGTGGGAGTCCAGTGCCTTAACCACCACACCACCTGCTCGCCCTAACATGTTTTCTTTTCTTTTTCTTTGTTTCTTTCTTTCTTTTTTTTAATTGCTATATGCCTTATCTCTAATGATGACTGAGTTTTGTTTATTTAAATAGCTGTCCAGTTGTCCAGTTATTTTTCTACCACGCAGTTTATTGCTTCAAAGAACTTGATGTTTCCTGATTTATTGAGTGTTTAATATAATTAGATCTATCGTTTTCTTCTTAAGAGAGCTTGATTTCATCAAAAGACAGGAAGCAGAAAGAAAGAAAATAGAAGACTTGGAAAAAGCTCATCTTGTGGAAGTTCAAGGCCTCCAAGTGCGGGTAAGTTATATTATCAAAGCTGGTAAATAATAAGATGGTTTCATGTGGTACTAGGAGAGTAGTTACAGATTTTTATGATTGGATTTGTTTTTCCTAGATTAGAGATTTGGAAACTGAGGTGTTCAGGCTACTGAAGCAAAATGGGACTCAAGTTAATAACAACAACAACATCTTTGAGAGAAGAACATCTCTTGGTGAAGTTTCTAAAGGAGATACCATGGAGAATGTGGATGTCAGGCAAACATCTTGCCAAGATGGCCTAAGTCAAGGTTTGTTTAACCTAGCCACAGAAGTCTTTAAAAATGACTGTACAATTTGGCCTTTCATTCTTCTTTTTCTAACCTGGAGATTTAAAAGTTGAAAATACCTCTGACTATAGAAAAGAAGAGGTTTAGCAAAATAGAAGTCTGCCATTTTACTCTTGTCTTATGAAGTTAAATGCTTTAATGTAAAGAATTAACAAAATCTCAAGGGGCCAGCAAGTGGCGTGGTGATTAAAGGCGCTGGACTCCCACATGGCCTACCACGGTTTCAAGTCTCGGACCTGGTAGCTTGCTTTCTCACTTCCTCTCTCTCTCTGTCTCTCTCTGATCAAACTGAAAAATAATAATGATAATAATAATAAATAAAATAATTCTTTAAAAAAAAAGAATTAACAAAATCTCAACTAAAGACAAGCCAAATAGTACTTTTAAGTCATCGAAACATTGACAGACTTAATAAGCTGCCTTAAAAATGGTAGTTCATCTCATCTAGGGTCAGCTGCACTGCTTAGGTAATGGGTAAGGCTTATAATTTTTTGAAATCAAAATCACTAAAATAAAAATTTTTATCATAGCATCAGCAGGCTGGCAGCCTGCTTCTACCATTTGAAATTTATTTAATTAAGAAGTTCTGACAGTTCTGTGCTTTTATCTCAGTGTCCTATTCATACTTCTTATATCTTTATTGTCAAAGACCAAGTAAGACCAAAACACTGGAAAATTTTGTTATTGTCAATAGCTGTCATCTTTTATATGTCAACCATAAATAAGTAATTTTGGGGGAGATAAACACACTGTACATAGACTGTGTTCATATGAATGTGATGAATGTTTTAATATTTACAATATATTTAAAAATTAGAAAACAACACACACACACACACACACACACATATATATATATATATATATATATATACACACACACACACATAACATACATACATACATATACATATATTTTAGTCCTTGGAAAGTGAACATTAAAAGAGGGTCGTATAGTACGATTGTCTTATATAAGACTGGCCACACTCAGGCACCAAATGATGTGCAGTCAAACCCTGTAATAATTTGCTGTTTATTTTCATTATTTATTTATTTTGCTACCTGTTATGTGTGCTCACCAGAGACAGAAACATAGAGAAGGAGGAAAGTGAGAGATCACTCCCCCAGGGAAGATGGCCATGCTGCAGTCCCTTCTCTATTCTCCTCTTAGGATTTTAGAAATGCACTCACATGCACCTGGCATGTTTTTCAAATCAGGTCTGGGACTTGAACCACTCAGTTGGCCATGTGGGATCCAGGTCCCCTTAACTGCCATGCCACTGGCTGGCCCAGCTATTTATTTTTATGTTACAAAGTATAATAATAATACTTCCTCATCCCCATTTTGCAGGCTGTTTTGAGGTTACATGACTAGTCTTTGGGGCCCCCAAAAGTAATTTTATTAGAGCTTTTATGGAACTATAATTTTTATACCTGGAGCAGTACACGATTGATATCTACAGGAGAACATCAAAATCAAACCCATTTTTTCTCACCTTTTTGAATATTTTATCTTCAAAATAATTGCAGTTTATAATAAGTACATGGTCTTGCAGTGACACATACCAGTGTGATCTCTAACCACTAGCTTTTTATTTCAGTTCATTTTTTTCATTTTAGAAATCTGTATCTTGTCAAACATATCATTAATGGTGTTTATTAAATTACATGACTACAGAAGATCAACAAACTATACTATTAACATGCTGATTTGGATCAAAACCTTATATTCTTCTGAACTCTTATTCTTTTCTCCATTTTGCCACATAATTATCAGTTTCCCTAGCAACACTGTCAGTTCACAGTGAGATGCGGAGACTGCTAATTCTGACTGAAACCAACCCATGCTTGTGCAGTAGAGGTAGAATTAGTCATCTCAGACATCAGTAGCATACATATCAAGCGGCGCTCTTCTATTTTTCCTGCCGAGGACAGCCAGTGATAAATCTCCTTGAATTTCAATTGCTTGATCACATAAACTAAAATGGCTTGGTCAGTAGCTAGATGAGAATGCTCTGGAAAGCACTCCTCTAAATTGATCTTTTGCTCTGTTGCTAGGAAACGCTGAGGTACTAAGGATTGAGAAAGGGGAGCAAGGCTGTGGACCTAACACAGGCCATTCAGCGCTTAACATCTCCCTCCGCCGTTCACAGTGGGATAGGCACAGTGGTGACAGTCAGTCCCCTGGTTTCTGCCTATTCATGGCGATGTCACCCTCCCCACTTCCTGTGGTTACCCAGGTTCTGATTTACTTTCCGAGCTTGGGAGTGTTAGATGAGTGGTTTACCATGGTTTTAGGTCTTGAGGCAACTCAGGAAGGAGAGGATTATCTATCATAGATCAGGGAGCAACCATGTCAGAATGACACAGGAGGGGGGACCAGCAGTTAGCGTAATGGCTATGTCGCTGGACTTCCACGTAGTCGACTGCGGTTCGAATCCCAGACCCGGCGGCATAAACTCATGACGGGCATGTGTGCGTGCATGCCCAGGGTCCTGAGAGGAGAATGAAGGAGAAGGGATTGCGGCGTGGCCATCCCCCCTGGGGCGTGATTTCTCGTTTTCTGTCTCTCTGTCTGTCTGGCAAGCACATGCGCCCTATAGCAAAAACTTCTCCAAAAAGAAAAAAGAAACAAGAGTGACACAGGAGGCAGAAGGGAAAGGAAAACAGCCATTTCTTCTGTGAATATGTTCTTCTAGACAGAGCTCCCATCTGGGAATGGGTTAGTATGTGACTGTCAATGTCGATCTGTGTAAACTTTTTTTTTTTTTTTTTGAGAGGATTTTGCGCTCGCCAGACAGACAGAGACAGACAGAGAGACAGAAAGCGAGAAATCACCTCCCAGGGAGCATGGCCACACCGCAATCCCTTCTCCTCCATTCTCCTCTCGGGATCTTGGGCACACACGCACATGCGCCCGGCATGAGTTTAAGCCGCTGGATCCGGGACTCAAACCACAGTCGACTATGTGGGAGTTCAGCAACATAGTCATTACACTAACTGCTGATCCCAATCAGTGCAAACTTTTGAGGGATAAAATCATTTTTCAAACCATGTAAAAATTTACCAGTTGGAATGATATTGGTTTACGATTTAGATATTTCTATAAACCAAGGTAAATCAAGAATCTCATTAAAATTTTAGTAAAGATTATATGCACGTTTATTCTTTAATATATTTAATACTTTTTTTCTTATCATAATTATATAAAGCAGATGTAACAACATTTTTTTACCACCAGCTGTAGCAGACCCAAATCCATTCTAGTTTACGCTAGTAAGCTGGTCAACTATTACTTTACGTGTGTGCCTGGACAAGGACAATGACAATTGTGTTCTACTGCCATGTTTCACGTTTGTCATTTCTTAGTGCCTGAGTCATGCCAGGTTTAGAATAAGAGCAGAGATCAGGCATGTTGGTGAGAGTTTCGTAGGTTAAGGGTGATAATCTCAGTCTAGCTGAATTTCTGGAACACCACTGAAACAACACACTCTTCCTGAGCTTCTATATATATGCCTGGATTCTTATGATGATACTGTCTTCGGCTACAATATCTTATAAGCTGTTTTCCTAAAGAAGGATTCTGTATAATTCCTTCAAGACTAGAAAGAGAGGGTAGGATCAATAGGAGGAAGTCACATGTGAAGGCCTGTTACGATTATTCCACCGTGAGAGGCCAGAAGTACAAAATCATTTAAAAGGTTATTTTGAACTCTAAAAGCCTGCTTTCAGGATTGTTCAGGTGGCACACACACCCGAGTAGAAGGTAGGAAGTGCCAGCGTTGCCAAGTTTACAACAAACTATCTAAATTGGAGGGTGGCTAGGGTGAAGGAAGAGAAAGAGGAAGCATTTGTCAGGAGACAAATAAGAATTTAGGCACTACAGAAGCATTTTAAGAGCTAAGAGAGGCTTCAAAGAAGAGAAATTGATTAAAATTAGGATAATTTTTTATCTCCTGGTTCACAGACTTTATGGTAAGACTAAGGCCATTTGAAGTGGGAAAGGGTGGTTTGGAAAGTAAAAATGGACTTTGAATGACTGAAGAACAATTTGCACGTAATTCTGGTTTTTCTTTTTTGAAAGATTTTTGCTATAGGGTGTGCTCACTGGAGGGACAGAGAAAGAGAGACAGAAAGTGAGAACTCAACCCCCAGAGGGGATGGCCATACCACAATTCCTTCTTCTCTATTCTCCTCTTGAGATTTTGGGCACACACACACATGCACCCAGCATGAATTTCAAGCCACTGGCTCTGAGACTTGAACCACTGTCAGCTATATTGAAGTCCAGTGTCTTAACCACTATGCCACCTGCTGGTCCCTTGCACATAATTTTGTGTTTGGATTCGTTAATACTTTTGAGGTTTAATAGGAACTGAGTAACATGTAAACTTGTGAATGTAATTCAGGGATCTCTGGATTTTTGCTATTGCTCTCAAGTGCTTCTTTCTCATATCTACCTACGCAGTCAGTATTTAGTAAAAGCAGTCAATTACTGGGGGAGGGGGAGGGGGTTGGATAAGATATCATATTTCCCCATTGATTTAGCTTAGTGCTCAGGAAATCTTTTAACCATGTTGTTCAGAACTTGTAAAATGTGAGGGACCAGCAGTTAGTGTAATGGCTATGTCGCAGGACTCCCACGTAGTCGACCGCGGTTTGCGTCCTGGACCCGGTGGCTTAAAACTCACGATGGGCAAATGTGCGTGTGCGCCCAAGATCCTAAGAGGAGAATGGAGAAGGGATTACGGCGTGGCCATCCCCCTGGGGGGTGATTTCTCGCTTTCTGTCTCTCTGTCTCTCTCTCTGTCTGTCTGGCGAGCACACGCACCCTATAGCTAAAACCTTTTAAAAAAAAAAAAAAAACTTGTAGGATGTGTTAGTGAGAGATGTTCTAAAAACCTCACTCATAATTGTGGGTTTATCTTTCTTATTTTGGTTATGTCAGTTTTTGCTTAATG